ATCTGGGGAGTGAACTAGTGGATGGAAGACTTCTTTCTCTCCCTCTGCCTCTGCCTCTGCCTCTGCCTCTGCCTCTGCCTCTGCCTCTGCCTCTCTGTAACTCTGCCTTATATATAAATAAATAAATCTTAATAAAACCTCTGCCTTTAAAAAAAAGCAACAATAGATTGTGTTTTTATAAGATAACCACAATAGCAATAACGAACATAATGAAGTTTTTCTTAATATATTTTAAAAAGCCAAAATAGTGCTTTTTATTTAAAGCAAGATAGTGAAACCCAAAGCAGTGATTTCTTAATAAGTTTCTTTTGAATTAGCTTATTAAGCCCATAATTAAAAGAACACTAATAACATCCATACCCTTTTCTTCAGCACTTTGCTTGATAATAACTTATTAATACTGATCAATATGTTTGTTTTATTTAATCATAAAAACATTTCAGTGTTCCGGTTCCAACTTACAGAAATAATGATTTAAGATGTGATAGTTGCTACATTATAAAGAATGGTTATAGACTGGTGTTTTCAATTAATTTTGTAGCCTTGTTATTCAGGAATACTATAGGCTTCTCAAGTTTTGAAGAACTAAAGACTAAATTCACTGAATGACTTGTTGAACTTAACACTGTCTCTAAGGAATCAAAGACCTGGAGTGTTTTGCACCACCTTGAATGAATGAACACATAAACATTATGTTTTCATATATTTCATTTTAGATATATGAAGATGAGTGGCTTTTTCTTGTTTCATTTCAAAATAAACCTTGATATCAGGTTGCATGTCACTTGTGTAGTTTCCTAAAGTTTAAAATACATTTATTTGTATATTTTTGGTATGCACAGCCTGTAATAGTGTAAATATTCTAGGTAAATAATAAATTAGATCATAAAAATGTGGTTTATGGTATTCCATTTCGGGGCTGAGGCTGTGGCATAGCAGGTAAAACCGCTGCCTGCAGTGCCAGCATCCCATATGGGTGCCAGTTTGAGTCCCAGCTGCTCCACTTCTGATGCAGCTCCCTACTAATGCACCTGAGAAAGCAGCAAAGGATGGCCCAAGTCCCTTGGCGCCTGCACCCACCTGGGAGACCCGGCTGAAGTTCCTGGCTCCTGACCAGGTGAGGCCTGACCCAGCCCTGATCATTGCACCTGTCTGGGGAGTGAGCCAGTGGATGGAGGATCTCTCTCCCTGCCTCTGCCTTTCCTTCTCTGTTACTCTGACTTTCAAATAGATAAATCTTAAAAAAATTCAATTTTAGGGAATTCTACCAGTTAATTTGGAATATACATTTTCAAGTATTTCCTTTCATATTTTTAAGAGTATAAAAAGTATATAGAGAATGTAAATTTTGTATTAGAATGGTTGCCCACAGGCCAAATATAATTTTGAAATATGTTTCTTCTATTCCACAGTTTTTCTTTTTTACTTTTGAATTATTTGCCAACTTTGACAAGTACATTGATTTCAAGCTTGTCTTGAAAAACTTGAAGCAGACTAAAGGATATTCCAGTTACCCGCAGGCCCTGTCCTTTTACACCCCCTTCTTTACTGAGGAATTGAGGCCTGTGTTTTACTGACTGATTTATTGAGAGCCAGATGTCATAAAAGAGAAAGAATGTGAGCTCTGCCACTGGAAAGGATGAGTTCAAATTCTGTCTTCAGTATTTACTAATTGTGTGACTCTATGCAAATTAATTTGTCTTGCTATATCAGTTTTCTCTAAGGATGATGAAGATATATCATTAGATGGAATAATAAGTGTATTGAAGCATTTAGAGTGTATTTTGACATGTACTTGTGTTCATAATGCATAAATTTTAACTGTAATTAATAATACTTTTTTTCCTGACCGGAGTAGGCATTTGAATTTGATAATCCTTATTTTTCTGTAGTAGAGGACTTTATTTTCTAATCTCTTCATTGGTTTGCTCAATGTAATTTTTATCAGATTCCATTTTATGTTGTAACCGATCATCTTCATTTTGTTATTCTCTACATTATTGCCCCAGAATTTATTCTAAGTGCTGTATATATGCTTATCAACTTGTACATATTAAAAACAAAATACAACTGTCTAGGTTTATGGATATAAGATTTATAGCTTTAGAATTTTTTTCCTGTCGGTTGACAACAAACCTTTCCTGTTTTCCCTGATTTCAAGCATCTCTTGTTTTAACCACAAGGCCAACGGGGTAGGACTTCACATCTAACCGTGATTGTGGGTGAGTGGAAGGATTGGATTCTGATAAAATTCAGAAAAATGTTTTTGAGTGTTTTACAAGGTGAGATTTTTAGAGAGAAAGTGAATGTGATATAGTACCATTTTATGTTAGGAAAGGTAGTCAAAGGTGTACGTATTTGTGGGCATCTCTGGAAACTTTGTGCCATATGAAGTTCATATCCTGTGAAATTAGGTACTCTTTTTGGCTAGACTTGCCCCTCCACTTAACTGTCCTCATTTCTTCTTCTTCCTCTCATACCCTCTTGCTCTTAAAATGTAAGAGGTTATGTTATCTATATTATTTTGGATGACAATGGGTGAACCTGGTTTGTATTTGGGAAGAATTCTGATTTGGGAAGATAAATTACATTTTATGAACACAGAAAATATGTAAGTGCTTAGTGTACCTTGGAAATTCAAAATATTTTGTAATAACCCAATTCTTTGATTTAGAACAATGCATAGAAATTACCATTAAAGGGGAAAACCTCAAAATGGTAAAAGAAAAATATAAGTGGTAATTTATAATCTTGTCTTTGTAATCACCACACCCAGCTGAATTTATATTGAGGTAAATATTTTTGGATACATGAATATGAAAATTTACTTAGGTTACAAAAGTGCCATGCAACTTTACGAAAGGTACACATTGAGAAAACCATATGTATCATATAAGAAGGTTTTACTTTTTATAGAAAGATTTATTTGCTTGAAAGGCAGAGTGAGAGAGAGGGAGGGAAAGAGAGTGCTTCCATCTGCTGATTCACTCCTCATATGACCTCAAAAGCCAAGGGAGGGTGTGGGCAAAACAAGGTGCTTCATCCAGGTCTCCCATGTGGGTGTAAGGACCAATGGCTTTGGGTCATCTTCCATTGTTTTCCCATGGACACCTGTAGGGATGGATTTGAATTAGAGCAGCTGGGACACAAACTTGCAGGTATAAGGATGCTGATGTTGGTGGCAGCAACTTAACCCATTATACCACAATGTCTGCCCCATGAGTATTTAATTTTTAAAAAATATTTGCAGCATGCTTGCATATCATAAAGATACTCATAACAATAAACCATTTCATGGAAGTCAGTAAAGAAATTACAGAGAAACATCCAAAGTCTTCTTGAATTTCACTAATTACCAAGCAAATACAATATAAAATTTAACTATCATATTGGATCAAAAGAAAATTTCCTGTGTTAATGATGGTCTAGGTTAAATAAATTGTTCTGTTATGTACACATCTTTCCAAAGTACAATTTGCCAAACATATCACAAAATCTTATTTCATTAAATATATCTTTAGCCCAACAATTCACAAGACTTGATCTTGGGATGAGTTTTGTGGCACAATTGGTTATGCCTCTGCTTGGGATGCCACATTCCATATTGGAGTGCCTGGGATCAAGTCTTACCAGTGCTTAGATTCCAGCTGCCTGCTTTTTGCACCCTGGGAGGCAACAGATGATGGTTTAAGTACTTGTCATCCACATGGGAGACCCAGACAAAGTTCCTACCTCCTAGCTTTGGCCTGGCCCAGCCCTGGCTGTTCTGGGCATTTGAGGAGTGAACCAACTAATAGAAGATCTCTCTTTCACTCTTAGTCTCATTCTGTCTTTCAAATAAAGGAAAATAAGTGAATAAAAACAAAAAAAAAATTTTACCCTAAGGAAATAATCATGAATCAGAAACAGAGATACTGGAAAAAAATAAACATGGTGAGCCTGTTCATAGTGTTAACCAACTGAAGCTCTCCTAATTGTTTGCTAATAAGCTATTAATTCCATAAATTGTGATACCTGGTTCATATGTTTAGTCTAGTGATTACAAAATGCTGCTTTGGGTGTCCGAGACCCGTATCACAATACCGAGTTTAGAGTTCCGGCTCTGGGTACAAATTCCAGTTTGTTGCCAGTGCAGACTCTGGAAGGCAGCAGTGATAACTAAAGTAGTTGGGTCCCTGTCACCCATGTGGGAGACCTAGACTGCATTCCCAGTTTCTGCACCTCGACTTGGTTCTGGCCATTGTGTGCCTTTGTGGAATGAACTAGTGGTTGCGAACTTGCTGTTTGTGTGTTTCTTTTGTAATCACTGTCTCTCTACCTCTCAAATAAAAGAAAGTATAAAATAAAACAAGTTGGAATAGCATTAGATGGAATGCTAGGGATCCACTAGAAATGACAGTATAGACACATTGTTTATTTTAAGCTGAGAAGGAAAGCACTCATGATAAAGTGTGTTACACAGTATGTTTAATATGATGGAATACAGTGAACATATGGATATTTGATTGCCTTGAACAAAGACAGGAAAAATATGACCTGAATGAAGATGGGAAGAATGTGTCCTGAAATGTTCAAAATGGTGTGTCTAGTTAATAAAGTCTTCTGTGGTTTAAATTTGCTGTATTTTCTGTATTTTAAAAATTTCTATCATGAAGGCTTATTATTTTATCTATAAAACAAAAAATTTAAAGAAAATATTTTCTTTATCTTATAATTCAGTTTTTTGTACAGGAACTTACCGAAAATGAATGTGATTCAACATTAAGATCAAGGTCATAAACAAAGTTTGGATTTTCCGAGTAACTGTTGAAATGGAAATTTTTATGCCACCTTTTTTGCTTCTTTTCATAAGCCTACCAATGTGTAGTAACAGTCCCCCAGAGTTGTGAAAAACTTGTTAATGCCTGTAATGCTGATTTAATCATTTTGTTTTGTGTTTATCCCTGGTCATAGCAGAAGGAAAAAATAACCATTTTTCTCTTCATGTTTTCCCCTCCCAGGTGGTTACTTTTGGTGACATTGTCCAGTTCTCACAATGTATCATTCGTTATCTGAAACTAGACATCCTCTACAAGCAGAAGAACAGGAAGTAGGCATTGATCCCTTGTCAAGTTACTCCCACAAGTCTGGAGGTGAGTTTTGTGTGCAGCTGCTGTCTGGGAGTGCTGGCAGAGCAGGCAGGAGGGCGCCAGTTTGTTGGAACCATCTTCTGTAATTCTCTCCCGGAAACTGAACAGGACAGCTTTAAGAACATCTTCCTGGTTATGTATAGAGCACTGTTGACACTAATACCACAAAGAGTCAACATTCAATCATAAAACATAAGATCATTCTTTAAAAAAATTCATGAATTAACAATGACCTCAGAATAAGAATGTCAAAATGCAAATGGACCTTTGTCAAACATCTTTTCAAAGATTCTAAGCTTTTGATGTTGATTTTAGAGGGATATTTTTTTCCTTCCAGCAAGTTGAGTATTTGACGATAAAAAATTGTCTGATTCTCCTTTAGAAAGAAAAATTAAAATTAAAATTTGTGTCATACCATTAAAGATTTACACATATTTCTGTTGAAAGATTGTCTTTAGTTTCTATGTATCAAAATTTGGTAATATTTTTCCATGTTTACTTAATGTTAAAATATACTTTCTTTGAAGGGAATAGTTATTGAGAATTCTTGGACTTATCCTTATTTTTAAGGAATCCAGTAACTATTGGATAAAATTTATTGACTATGACTACTTGGTTGGTAATTTTTCACTTGTGAAGTATGTATATCAAGTTTGTGAGATCATTTTAAAACATCATAAATTAGTCAAATTAATTCATGGGTGTTTTTAATGCTGCAAGTAAAATAATTTTTTCTGTGTATATCAATGTTGAGAATTATTTGAGAATTTTTAAGAATACACTCCCACTAAATATGCCTGCTTTTTTAGAGTGTTCCTGGACTATATATTTATGTTTTTTGTGTACCTTTATGCCTTCTACATTGTACTAATTGCATTGATTTTTTTCAAATGAAAATAGTAAAATTTGTCTTATAATTTATTTTTGTGATTTTATTTTTTCTTACATAAAGATTAAAAAACTTGCTGTTTTAAGATTTTGATAATATGAATATAGTATCCATTTCTGTTTCAGTATTCTAGTATCTTAGTGGTAAGCATGATACCTTTCCTAGTGATACTTTCTGTTAAACGTGGTACTCGAGAGGTGCCCTCATAATTAAATAAGTGAAATTGTTATCAGAAACTGCTATAATTCGGTTTTAAAGGTGAAAATATCTTTGTATTTCAAGTATATAAAATACTTTCACCAAAATTATTTATGCTAATGCTGTTATATGCTCCAGAGCATTTTTTTTTATTGTTGTTTGTTTTTTAAGTGCATATTTTTCCTCTGGTGTATTTCATTAAATATTGAGGCTTTTTTTTTTCCTTAAACCTGGTTAAGAACCATTTTAAATTAATTTTATCCTTTATTGTTTCCAGGAATGAGTAGTTACCTTTACTGAAAAGGCTTTTCGTTTATATCCTAGCCTAACATTTCTGTGACATACTAAGTTATTAGGACTGAATTGATGTTTAAAAGTGCCATTAATTCATTTACCCCAAATGTTCATTAACAATGTAAATGTATGCTGATGTTCTATGAGACAAGGAAGTGACTAATGACTCTTCCAACTAACAACACTTAAAATGAATAGAAACTTTAGATAGCTAATCTTGAAGTAATCAAGACCCTCATTCAGCTTGGCATCTCTGTATGCTCTAAAACAGCTGTCAACTGTTAAAAATATACACAAAACACACGCACACACATACACACACATACACACATACACACAAATGCACATGCGAAAAGAAAGATATGTAAATATCTAGTTCTCCAAAGCCATGAAGGTTACTAGGTTACTAAGCACAGTGGGTTTTGTGCATTGTATATGTAAATATTGTATATAAAGCATCTATTTCATCTTCTTTGATTTCCTTTTTGTAGAAAAACATGTGTTGCATTTTAATGGGGCTGTCATATTTACTTGGAGAATCATCGTCTTTCTGGTGTGTTTGTTTATTTTAATATATGTCTTCTGTGGGGTTTCTTTAATTTTGAAGCCCTTTACAAATTTCTGCCAGAATCATGAGGAAGTTCATGGATACTGGATGACTTATGTTCCAAATAAACATTGGACTGACATAACTGACTGCCGGTGTAAATACCATGTATCTTTTATAAAATTCCTGTGACAGATTCCATTAGTAATAAAATAAGTCTTTAAATTCTCAAATCTGGTTTTTAATATTTATAATGAAATAGTACTGTTAAATGATTTTTGGAGTTCTACAAAGGATTAGTATAAATAGCCATAATGGGAATGTAAAGTGATTATTTTAATTAATGACTGAGGAAAGTGGGTGAGGGCAGAAAAAAAAAAAAAAACCTCTATTTGGATATATAAATGCATACTCTTACGTATTTTTTTTTTGGAAGTAGAAAAACCACTGCTCCTTGACAGTATAGACAAGGGTTATCAACAGTAGTCAACCTCAAAATGTCAGTTTTACTCATATACATTATGTTATTTTTTGTACTTTGTGTATTAGTTACCACAGTTCAGAGAAGACAAATTTGTCTTTTGGGGACTGGCTTATTTCATTAAGAATAATTGTCTCCAGTTGCATCCATTTTGTTGCAAAATATAGAATTTCATTCTTTTTTTACATTCGAGTAGTATTCCATCTTGTATATATACTACATTTTCTTTACACAGTGATCCATTAATGGACGTCTGGGTTGATTCCATATCTTAGCTAATGTGAGTTGAGCTGTTATAAACATGGGGATACTGATAACGATTTTATATGCTGATTTCATGTCCTTGGGTAAATTCCCAGGAGGGGGGTAACTGGGTCATATGGTAGACCTATTTTCAGGTTTCTGAGGAATCTCCAAACCATCTTCCATAATGGTTGACTAGTTTATATCCTCTCTATCAATATATTAGGGTACCTTTTCCCCCACATCCTTGCAAGCATTTATTATTTGATTTTTGGGTGATACTCTCTAGTGGAGTCTTTTGGTTTCCCTGTGTATAGGATCATATCATCTGCAAACAGAGATTATTTGACCTCCTTCTTTTCCATTTGTATCCCTTTAATTTATTTTATTGGTTAATGGCTCTGACGAAAACTTTCAGAACTATACTGAATAGTAATGGTGAAAGTGGGGGCATCCCTGTCTGGTTCCTGTTCTTAGAGGAAATGATTCCAGCTTTTCCCCATTCAGTATAATGTTGGCTGTGGGTTGGTCATAAATTGCTTTGATTCTGTTGATGTATGTTCCTTCTGTACCCAATTTGCTTAATGTTTTTTCATGAAGGGATGTTGTATTTTGTCAAATGCTTTCTCTGTTTCTATTAAGACAATCATATTTTTTTATTCTTCAGTTTGTTAATATGATTTATCACATTTTTTATTTGCATATGGCAAACCATCCCTCTGTGCCAGGGCTAAATCCCACTTGGTCCCTGGTGAATGAGCTTTCTGATGCATTGTTGGATTCGAAAAGGTAGAATTTTGTTGAGGATTTTTGCATCTAGGTTCACATGTTCTTTCTTTGTTATATCTTTTTCTGGTTTTGGTGTTAACTTGATGCTGGCCTCTTCAAGAAGTGTGGGAGGATTCCATCCCTCTCAATAGTTTTCAATAGTTTGAGAAGAATTGGGATTAGTTCTTAAAAGTTTGGGAGCCTGCAGCAGTGAAGTTATCTGTTTGTGGGCTTTTCTTTGTTGAGAGAGTCTTTCTATCTGATTGAATCTCTGTCTTGGTTATTGGTCTCTTTAGGTTTCCTATGACTTGATGACTCAATTTTGGTAGATTGTATGTGGCCAAAAAAGGTAACCATTTCTTCTAGATTTTCCAATTTGTTGATATATAACTATTTGTAGTAATTCCTGATGATTTTTAAAAAAGGTTTATTTGTTTATTTGAAAGGCAGATTTACAGACAGAGGCTGAGATCTTCCATCCCCTGAATTGCTCCCCAAATGCTCGCAATGGCCATAGCTGGGCTGATCTGAAGCCAAGAGCCAGGAGCTTCTTCAGAGTCTCCCACGCGGATGCAGGGGCCCAAGCACTTGGGCCAACTTCCACTGCTTTCTCAGGCCATAAGCAGGGAGCTGCATCAGAAGAGGAGCAACTGGTACACATATGGATGCCAGTATCACAGGCAAAAGCTTACCCTACTACAGCACAGTACCAGTCCCTCCTGATGATTTTTTAAATTTCCTTGGTATCCGTTGTAATATTCCTTTTTCATCTCTGATTTTATTAATTTGAATCTCTCACCCCATTTTTTTACTTTCGTCCTTCTTTTACTTTACTTTTGTCAATGTTGCATCAATTTTGTTTATTTTTTTTAAAAAAGCAGCATTGGCTGGCTCCGTGGCTCACTTAATCCTCTGCCTGCGGTGCCAGCACCCCGGGTTCTAGTCCTGGCTGCCCCTCTTCCAGTCCAACTCTCTGCTGTGGCCCGGGAAGGCAGTGGAGAATGGCCCAAGTGCTTGGGTCCCTGCACCCACATGGGAGACCAGGAAGAAGCACCTGGCTCCTGGCTTCGGATTGGCGCAGCGCCGGCCATAGCGGCCATTAGGGGAGGGAACCAATGGAAGGAAGACCTTTCTCTCTGTCTCTCTCTCTTACTGTCTAACTCTGCCTGGCTAAATAAATAAATAAATAAGCAGCATTAATCTTTTGTACCTTTTTTGGGTTTTGATTTTAATTTTAGTTATTTTCTCTAATTTTTATTGTTCTTTCCTCCAACTAATTTTGATTTTGGTTTGTTTTTGTTTTTCTAGATCCTTGAGATGCATTTTTAGATCAATTATTTCCTTCTAATTTCTTTAAGATTTATTTTTATTTATTTGAAAGAGTTACAGAGATGGAGAGTGAGAGAGAGCGAGATCATTCATTCATTGGTTCACTCCACAAATGGCCATAATGGCTAGGATTGGGCAGACAGAGCCAGGATCCAGGAGTTTCTTCCAGGTTCTCCATGTAGGTCCAGGAGCCCAAGCACTTGGGCCATCATCTGCTGCTTTCCCAGGCACATTAGCAGGGAACTAGATTGAAA